ATCATGGGCTGTGGATACTGAGGCATCATGTTCGGGAAGCGGAGCCTGTCCAAAACTTTGCTCTTGCCCTTTGCCACGTCCTTTTCCATGAGGTTGGTGATCTCCATCTTGCCATGAATTGTTGCCTCTGTTGCTTTTCCGGCCTCGATTGGAAGAGCGCCTGGTGCGGGAGCGTGGACTCCAGGAACTTGATTGGTGACCATCCCATTGCTGTCCATCCCAAGAAGGTGGTCTGCCAGATTGCTGATTGTACGACTGGTTGCGGTGATCGGGTGGAGTGAAGGATGGGTCGTAACAATTGCCCCATTCTTGACCACATTTCCAACACCGAGGGAACGTCCCTTTCATCACCACATGACATGTCGCACATCGCCACGATGGTTGTTTTTGAGTCATGGTGACTTGGGAAGCTGCAAGGAGTCGATGTAGAAAAAGGGGATCTTTCGAATGATGCCTGCTGAGTGTATCGTGGATCTTCAGCAGCTGGGAGGCCGACAAGCGTTGAACACCTAGTCGATGTAAGGCCACCTCAACCTTGCCCTCGCCCTCTGCCGCCTCTCTGCTCTGCGGGAGGATGTAGAAGCCGTCCTGCACCAAGGACAGATTTGAAGGAGAAGCCACGATGAAATTCACCTTGTCCCGAATCAAATTGAGGAAAAGGAAGACCTGCCACGCCCTGAGCATACACAGAGACTGGGTCAAAGGCCGTCAAAAGGTCCACCAGGGCACAGCCAGTTCAGTGGAAAGAAGAGCAACTTGAAAAGCGATGGTGGTGCCGGCTTGCTGAGCTCCGGCAGAGCACAAGATGAAGGTGGTGCTTGCGGTCGAAGAAACGCAAGAACACCACCCGCGGTTGATGGCTGTCACCGCTAACGAAAGCGACCGGTAGGGAACCCGCTAACCCTTGCTCAGCCGAAACCTTATTACATATATATATATATAGAGTAATATTTATATATACTATATTACATATGTATTTATATACATGTTATATATATATATTACACATATATATATATAAATGTAATAATATATATAAATTGCATATATATATATATGATATATATTATATATATATATATGTATATTGCATAGTCACCTGCACTGGTAGCCAACCTGAGATCTCCTCCACAACGGCGGCCCACCGGCGCCCAGCCAAACGCTTTTTCCAATGGTTGAAAAGCTAAGCTAAGCGACGCCCACGTCGCATCCAAGCCCTCGACGGCCACCCAGAGCCGAAATCCACTGATATCGCATGTGACTCCCAAGGTTGAATCCAATGTTGACACGCATTGTCAACCCTTACGTTACAGTCTCGCGCAAGTTCAGGGAAATGTGGTCTGGAAAACACAGCATATATATATATATACACATATAATATATACATGTCATAATCTGATTATCTTTTGCAGATTTATAGTGTTTTTCCCGAATGCGTAGCAAGGGTTCCCGTTTCACTCTGGGGGTCTGGGGGTTGAGGGTGTGCTCGCTCGACCGTGCCCAGCCGTTCGCAACCGTCCGCAACCGTCCGCGTGAGGGCCGTATGGCCGTGCCTATGGTAAGTTCTGCAAAAGTGGTCATTTTTGGAGGTTTCAAACGTCGCGTTGCTTCGTTTCGCGTGGCAGGCGTAGCACTTCGTGACATTCAGACGTGTTTGGTAACGTGTCGAAAGTCGTTTTGTGTGGCAAGCGCAATACTTTTGCGAGGTTTTCAGAAGATGTGTTGCAGTTTTCGTGGCAGGCGCAGCACTTTGGACGTGTCCATCACCATTTTGCGTGGCGGGCGCAGCACTTTAGATGTGTGGTCTCGCGTGTTTTTGCAAATCGCAATGGCAGGGCGGCGTCAAGTGGCGACAAGGTGCAAATTCCGTGGCAGGCGTGGCATTTTATGAGATGTGATGAAAATTGGCCGGAAGCTTCGCACGAAACATCGATTTTGAGGTAGCAAATTTTCAAGTTCTAAGGGACTCGTAGGAAAACAGCGATTTCGAAGCTACAAAGTGTCAAATTGAAGGAAGTCTCGCACGAAATGCTCGTTTTGATGCCTCCCTGTGTCTCGTCTCAAGTCCCTGGTTTTCCTGTGGCCTCGCCGTGTCTTTGGTGGAAGCTGCAAAACCTCTCCTTTTCAAAGGTTTCCAAGCAGGTTGTCATCTCGTTTTGCGTAGCAGGCGCGGCACTTTACACTCCACACTGTGCACTCCACACTGTGCACTCCACACTTTACTCTTTACACTCCACACTTTACACTCCACACTCCACACTTCACACTCCACACTTTACATTCCACACTCTACACACGACACTCCCCACTTTACACTCCACACTTTACACCCCGCACTCTCCTCTCTACACTCCACACTCTCCTCTTTACACTCCACACTCCACACTTTACACTCCACACTCCACACTTTACACTCCACACTTTACACTCCACACTCTACACTCCACACTCCACACTCTAAACTGTACACACTCCACACTTTCCACTCCACACTCCACACTTTACACTCCACACTTTACACTCCACACTCTACACTCCACACTCCACACTTTACACTCCACACTTTTACACTTTACACTTTACACTCCACACCTTGCACACTCTACACTTTACACTCCAAACTTTACACTCTACACTTTACACTCCACACTTTACATTCCACACTTTACACTTTACACTACACTTTACACTCCACAATTTGCACTCCACACTCCACACTTCACACTCCACACTCTACACTTTACACTCCACACTCCGCACTTTACACTTTACACTCCGCACTCCACACTCCACACTTTACACCCCGCACTTTACACTTTACACACTCTACACTTTACTCTCCACACTCCACACTCTAAACTGTACACTCCACACTTCACACTCCACACTCTGCACTTTACACTCCGCACTCCACACTTTGCAATCCACGATCCACGCTTTACACTCCACACTGCTTACTTCACACTCCAAACTCCACACTCCACACTTCACACTCCACACTCTACACTTTACACTCCGCACTCCACACTCTACACTTTACACTCCACACTCCGCACTCTACACTTTACACTCTACACTTCACACTCTTCACTTTACACTCTACACTCTGCAGTCCATACTTTTCAGTTTACATTCTACACTTTACACTCTGCACTCTACATTCCACACTTTACACTTTACACTCCGCTCTACACACTTTACACTCCACACTCTACACTTTACACTTCAAGCTCCACACTTTGCACTCCACCCTCTTCAGCATTCCACAGTCCACAGCGCACTGGTACGGTAACAGGGGAAAATGTAGACTGTTCAATTAACTTGTTTCACAGAAGTGTTCTACATGACTGCATATGGGTTCGTGGGCTGCATCTTGTTTTAAGTCCTTTTTGGATGATTTTCTTCCACAAGATGGCGATTTCCCAGCCATGGTCGTTCCCGAGGATTTGTGGTCCGACCTGGGCAAGCTCCGTCTCTCGGCGAAGGGGAAGATTTCATCCTATAAAGTAATAAGATACTGAGATATGTGAGAAAATGTAAAAGTATGTTCACTGAGATACTGCATGAAATGACATGAGAGAATCCATGCACAACTGACTGAATGAACCAACGAATCAATGAATCAACGAAGCAAGGTATGAAATGAATTAGTGAGTCGATCAATCAATAATTCAAAGAATCAATGATTCAGTGAACCAATGACTGAGTGAATTGGTGAACCAATGAATCAATGAATCAATGAAAATGAACTTGTGAGTTCGCTTTGCTGCACGCAGCCGCGCCAATGCGTTTTGTCACAGCCGGTTGCAAACACGCATAGCAGGAGCGTCACATCGACCAAATCGACCAACATTCGCGCAGCGCGACAATGGGAACGGTTCCGCGCTACTCCGAACATGGTGGCTTTTAATGATTTTTTTTTTAAATCGACCTCTCGGTACAATCTGGTGCACTTTGCCGACCTCATCTTCCAAAAGTGCTCCGAACGTCACATTTTCTTCAACAGTTTTGAAGGGGAAATCGAGCTCTTGCTACAATGCGGTGCACATTTTGCCGACCTCATCTTCCAAAAGTGCTCCGAACGTCAGAGTTTTTTTAGAACAGTTTTGAAGTCCATATCGAGTTCTCGCCACAGTCCTGTGCACTCTTTAACGATAACTTCCCCAGATCAAGACCCGAAACCGCAGAAACCTGTGAGTTGACCCGCTTCCGAACTGTTACACTTCCCAGCTACTTGATGATGGGTGGTTGACATGGTGATGTGGTTGACATGATGGTGTGAATGCTAACCATGACCATGGTCCGTAACTCGGAAGATCTCGAACTAAACGCCTTTTGATGATATTCCTTCTGTGGTTCCTTGATTGTTCCCCCTCCCCACCCTAAAGGGTCGTATCCCCCCACAATTTTGTTTACATGTGATATTCCGCCTATGGTTTTATGATTGTTTCCCTTCCCCCAACCTGAAGGGTCGAACAACGCCTTGAGAAGGGAAATGAAATGGTGGTGCAGTTGAGGCGAATTCCTTGGTCGCAAGTGAGTGTTTGTGGTTGTAACCGAGCTGGTGGTATAAGTGAGCCGAATCGGTTGGTCGTAGCTACCTGTAACCCAGGTATTCACTGCAATCTTCAGCAGCTCTCATGCCAGGTGCAAACACGCATTTTCAGTGGTTTCAATAGTTTATGCTGTTCCTCCACAAGCGGTAGGTTTAACGAAGCAAAACAAAATTGTATTGTTTGGTGACAGAGGTAAAAATTACAGTCAGTAGATAAAGACTCGTCTTAACAAAACCACATGCCGACAATCTCAGGTCAATCCCAGATGCAACATCCGTGGAGTGTCAACATAAATGAAGTTCTTTGAAAATTGGGTACCCCATTCCATCCAATGGTCATTATCCCCAATCACTCCCATGAAAATGGCCATTTGGTGGGTATACTGCACGCATATCATCCCATTTTCAGACACACCCAATAGTGCCCCTTTTTCTGAACATCTCGATGCCCATCCCAGGAAAGCAACTCTCTGTGCTTGGCAGCAACGTCAGAATCGCTGGTCCTGAGGACATGGGATCAGCCAGCTTCAGCTGCGTTCTTACTAAAAATGGATTGGTGCCAAATTTGGTATACCCAGGTAAGCCCATTAATCATGGTTAATCATCATTTATCCTATGAAAATACCATTTGATGGTCTCAGGAGCTGCGCAAAATGGTGGGCGCCGTGGAGCATAAGTTGAAGGCGTTCCGAAATGTCCCGAAGACTGAAAGATCCGATTGAATGCAGAGTCTTATATTTGCCAAATAGACAGACTATGACATACTGTTTTCTGGGTGTTTTGTGCTTCCAAGTTCAAGTTGGTAAACTTTTGTTGAGCAGAAACACAACGGACACAGACACAGAATTCAGCGACATGGTGTAGCAACCTGGTTGCCAGCAGGTGTATTCAGAGCAGCGGCGGCTTGAGCTTCAGGCCCCTCACTGCGTTGACCTGGCGGAAGCTCTTGGCGGTTTCTGGGGGTGCTCATTATTAACAAGAAAGCACAGGTCTCATCAATTATCATTGGCTCAAGCTTCAAGACTCACGACTTCTTCCTCCATGTCTAAAAGTTAAGTAGTTACCACGCATAGTGATTATTATGTATAACATTGTATAGCTGGATTACCTTAAGTAGAACTAATATAGATTTGCAGTGATGACCCCCCAACTTGAACGAGGACTTAGCCTGAGAAGGTCTCATCCCACAGGGTACCAGTTCTTTCCAGGACCTTTGTGCAGAAGAGTGTCGCTTAGAAGAGTCTCTCCAGGTGAGTCTGGGGGCGCTCCTCATAGTAGATTTGAATATGAATATGAAGTGTTAGAAGATGAAACCGATCGTGGATTCAACAATGTATCCACCTCAACTTTATTCAAATAAACGATATAAGCGCATATTCTCACAGTATTTAATCCCACTGATCATGGTTTGCGTCTATCGAAACGGGGTTGGAGCCACTCTGTCTGGCAGCGTTTGGAATCTTACACAAACCTTCCCTATTCAAGATTGAAGAGTTTGCTCTCGGAGCTCTTTCCATGGTGTTTGAGAGCCGACATTTCCACAGACCTCATAGGTGCACTTTGGCAAAAAGATTTCAGAGTCACATCTCCTGGCTCGAGTATCAGCTGAAGCATGGAACAGACAGAGGGCAGGTGAGGGCGGGTTCATCACCCGGCAGAAGATGGCCCTGTGAGAATTCCATGAAGCCAAAACCTTCAAGTGCTGAGTGTCCACCACCTGGTGAACCCAGTAGGAGACATCTCTCTCTCTCTCTCTATCTCTATATATATATATTTATATGTATTATGTATATATGTACTACATATACACACACACATAATGCCATATGAGTCTGAGTAACCAACAAAATTAGCGGACTACAGTAGTGGGGAGTGGACATGGGATGTTCAAATTTGTGCAAAAACATTCACAACAGATAGGGGACCACCCACTTACCGATACCTTATTTTTGCACATAGCATGGAAGTACAAACCTTCACAACCGATAGGGGACCACCCACTTTGGCCATGTCCATTGCGGGTAGTAAGTAATTTTGTCCGCCACTCATATGTTGATCCAGTACAGGATATAAGATGTATCTGTACGTGCCTGGAGAACATGCGCGCCATGTACACAATGGTATCGCTGGATATATGACATGTTGAAGTCAATTTAAGTGCGAACTTCATTGGAACATGTTTAGCAGTATTTGGTGCGTTCTGCCTAGTAGCCAGCTCCTTCCTGGTGGCTTGGATTGGTATTATCGTCCCATTGAAGGGGCCGGAGTGACTTGACCCATAGGAATAATCAAGCCACCAACCCCATCATCAACCGGGGTGCCCACAATTTGCGATTTGAAAGCGAATGCGGTATCAGGGCGACAAACTATGGGATTTTGGGGTACAACATTTTCAGACAAACGCATATCCCTATCCCCGTGTCTTTACCTGATGACAATGGGTTGAGGGCTTGTTTGTGGTCGTTGATTATAGTTGAGGGTTCATTGATCAGAGACCCAATTTTCATCATCACTTCTTGAATGATGATACAATATACACTTACACGCCGCTTGTTGCTTCAGTCTGCAATCTTTCTCCCATTTTGGCTGTTTGTACCCAATTTGGGATTCCACCCATTCTCCTATTCTTGGCTGGTTATAACATGTTATAACCCGTGAACGGCCCATGAATTCACACCCCGGAGGCCTCGGTGGCTCGTTTCGACGCCTGGGAGGCGAACGGAAGCGCTGCCAGCGTCCGGGCGCATCGGCGCCCGAGCAGCGCGCCACAGCGGCGGCTGAAGACCAAGGGGACCATGGCCAGGACTGCACTGATTTCTTTAGTGACCACAATGACCAGAATGGACCAGAATGACTTCAGTCCTGATTTCAATGGACCATCTTGTTCCATTTTGTGATGTGGCGACCAGGAGCCAAGAGTTGCGGGGTCGAGTGGAAGAGATCTCACAGCAGCTGGCGACGCCACGGGATGGAGTGCCGGTGGGTTGGTGAGACTGGATGGAACTTCCCCATGTGCAGAAAATTTGAAAAGATCCAGGGCGACTTTACCAACCATTTTTTGACTGTTTGCATCGCGTGATTTGAGTTTCTGCTGCTTCAGCGACTTGGAGATGCCAATATTCAGTTAGCTGCAACTTGGAGGATTTGGAGGCTTAGAAAGCGCGGTTAGTGGATAGTGCTCTGAGAATCAGGCTGGTGTTCCCCAATAGTATCAAGTTCATTCTAGTGAGTGGAACAAAGTGATCAACCACTGATTAAACATGATTAACCGTCCATAACCATCAATTTTTGATACCAACAATCACTCGCCATTTGGGCCCTCAGGAGGTTGGCGCCAAGCCGACCACGAGGCCTTCCTACGCCTGCTCTTGGGCCGCTTTCGCGGCCGACCTAGCGGCGGATTCTTGGCGGAGGCACACCTTTTTCAAATGGCTTTGGGACCTGGAATTTGCGGGAGAAACCCTAGATTTGATGGTTCATCATTTATCATCATTTCATATTTTTTTATGTACTTTTCTTGGATATGTTACGGTAAGTCTCCAGATTAGAACCCCAATCCCAACGTGCCAATACATGCCAACTGTAGCAGTCCATTCCAGGCGCAGGAATTGTTGCCACACTTGGCGCATGAGCAACTCGTGGAGCATTCTAAATGGCTGCTGGAACAGGCTCTGCTTGCTCTGAATCTGGCAGGGTTCAGAGCAGAAGGAATGCCATTTGTATGGCACGGATTCATGGATGTGGAATTGTTGAAATGTGCTGAGAATTCTGATCCAGTCTCATAAGTTTGCGTGCTTGATCATTTACTGGCATTTTTGACCCGCATGCCTTATTCCATGTTATTCCATTTTATTCCTTTCCGCAACTTTGCAAATGCAGTCTTGGGAAGGTCTTGAAGCCATGTGGGAACATGATGATTAACCGGGGTACCCTATGTTCAGACAAACTCACTACATCACTTTGATATGCTCCTGCCAGGATGCTTTGCAGGCTGAACGACAGTCATTGCTGCAGCAATGGCGCACGGAAAAGAGCTCAAAAGGTCCAGAAAGCGCCACCTTGGCATCTGAAGTTGCTAAGGAGAGCTGAAGACAAACATCGACCGCCGAATCAGCCACCAACCAACCCGAGTCCATTCTCATACCATCAAGGCACATCCATTCACCGACCAACTACTGACCAACTACTGACCAATTGCTGACCAACCACTGACCATCACCAGTCATCTTCAGGAGAGTGCTCAGAAAAGAGAAGCTGAGATGAAAAAACGTCACAGCATCGCAGACTCTCGTCGGATCAAAGAAGCCACTGTCACTAAAACGAAGAGGACATTCAAAAGTTGCCCAGTCTTTTCGGACAAGTTGTAAAACGATCAGTAAGAGATGCTTATACCCACATTGGCCAAGGGTGTGGCCAAGGCAATTCGACATCAGTACACCGTCTCACTTGTTCTTCAAAGCTACGGCGCCAAGGCTTTTCCTTGTTCTTCTGATCAGTCCAAGTAGCCTGCTGGTGCTTAGCCTGAGGAGAAGAAAAAGCAAGTGGAGGCGCATTCTGCTCGTATCAGATTCAAAGGTTCTTTTTCCTATATACATTTGCAGCAGCCTTTGCGAAGCCGACTCTACTTGAAAGCAGCGACTCTTTGAAGTCTCCCAATCAGGAACGCTGGAACATACCGTACATGGATGTCATTCAGTCTGCTGCCACTTTTGGCAATTACAATAGCTCAAACATATTGTGAGGCTTGGCAGAAAGAACGTGCCGAAGCAGCACGTGCTGAGCAGGAAAAGCAGCGCGAAGCAGAAGAGGAAGAGAAGAGGAAGGCACTGGCAGCAGGGACATTTGGGTTCAGGTATGATAAACATTTATAAAATATGGATAAATATGGTAAAGATTGGTAAAGATTGGTAAAGTAGGTACCTCCAAAATTGCTGGTTTGTAGATGTTTGTAGCATAAGGGAGATCTTGAATCTTGGCCGGCCATTTCTGGCCAACCTCGGGCCCTAGCAACTCCCAATCCTGCTTTGGTGGGTCTTTGGATTTAGCCTTGTTGGGTGGTAGGGATGCAGTTGAGAACATACTGATTTCGTTGTAGAATCATTCTCCAGAGAGCAACAGTCAGATGCAGCTCAAACTTTGAATGAGGCTGGATGTGCAGGCCACTGTTTCAAACATTGAGATCAGATTGTGTTGCTGTGGTAGTTCATTGGGGTATGCCGTGATGCTTGGTGCTAGTGTGCAGGTCTTGTAATGGAGGCGGTTGAATTTGTTTACACAGATTTGGGCAGTTGGTTCAAATCCTGGTGCTATTTTGTCTTGATGCCAGACTGTTTGGGTCAAAATGGTGGTAACTATGGAGAAACCATTTCATTACGCCCCTGGTTGTACCAGATGTGTCCTCCTGAAAAGAACATACCTCCGATTCCAATGGTCATCATCTCATTAAAATGGCAATTTCGGTGTATATGCAATATACCGTATCAATCCTTTCCATATAATACAAAATACATCAAAATACGGATGAAACTCTGGTTTAAGTAATACAAGTAATACAAGAAACTCTTCATTTTAAGTATTGGATCTCTTCATTTTGAGGGCGGGGTTAAGCCAGGCCAAAAGGCGGCAAGAAGCTTTGCAAGCCAAGAAGGAGGCGACATGAGATTCTTTGGAAAAGGGTAGGGCGGGTAGGGGGTTCAGAACACGTTTCATATGTTTCATAAGATGACCCAGATTGTCTTGATTATTTAGGATTGTTTGACCTACAAGCGTTTCCGCTAGCTCATAGCTATCCATGTTCATGCAGGTTGACCTGGGGAGAACATGCCAATGTGGACTTTTTGGGAGAACAGTCCGAACAGTCGACACAAGCTGGCAACGCCAGTGCCTGGAACTCTTTTGGTTTCTCAACGCACACGTACTTCACTGACCCAAGATACAGATGGATGACCCAGCCCAAGTGACGACACCGGAATGAAAAACAGGAGATGGAGTGTTGGCGCAAGCAGAAAGAGATGCTTCGGAAGAACGAAGCCAGTGCTGCACAGGCACTGTCTTTGATTTCTCAGTGTGTAACTTCTGTGGTTAACAAAATTTCACATTCTTCCAAATCACCCCTTTTCCTTCTCATCTCTCACCATCCATTGTAGAATTGATTCATGTTGATTCAGTTTGCACCATGTTCAATTGTTTCCCCTGTTTGTTCAATTGTTTCCCCTGTTTGAAACATAAAACCCCGGAGCATTTCTACCCTGGTTGGTAAGAAATCGGAGCCAGTGAGGTGACCGCCGCCCCACTGACTGCGCAGCAGATTCTCCGGCTCCGCGCACGTAGCGAACAGCTGCTGCGAAATCGGGAGCGGTAGATCATCGGGGGCGCTGCAATCAGTGGTTGATCAACCAAAAAACGAGTTCACCAAAAATAATATTTTTAATTGTGTTCAATGAGGATAAATCATGGTTAAACTAGCGAAAACACAATGGCTTAAGCAACATGGAAAGGTTTGATGCGTTTTTTGATATGGTTGCTTGTTATGGCCATGGCAATCATAATCTTGATTCAGGGCGAAATTAGACAATCCGAAAAAGGGGATATAACATGATATTCCCAACAGCGATAGCGATAGTGTTGGGTTTCAATCTCTGGGGTCAGGGGGTGGTGCCACGAAAATGCACGCCTCGAAAAACCGGAACAGTCCTGGCACCTTGCTGGAACCTTGCTGGACCCTTGCTGGAACCTTCCTGGAACCTTGCTGGAACCTTGCTTGCAGCCTTGCTGGAACCTTGCTGGAACCTTCCTGGAACCTTGCTGGAACCTTGCTTGCAGCCTTGCTGGAACCTTGCTGGAACCTTGCTGGAACATTCGTGGAACCTTGCTGGAACCTTGCTTGCAACCTTCCTTGAACCTTCCTGGAACCTTGCTGGAACCTTGCCTGCAACCTTGCTGGAACCTTCCTGAACAGATTGAGCTCATACATGTTGGATAACACTGTTGGATTGCTAATCAGACATAGTGACAAGCGTATTTGAGAAATGGAATGTTGGAGCTATGCTAATCTGCTAAACCTGATGAATAGCATCCATCCTGACAACACTTGAATAGTATGCACGTGCGTGCGATCGAGAGATGTTTCTTCATTGAAACAGTATTTAACATATGTGTCTTTTCATATTAGGTGCACGGGTTCTATTGATCCAACACAAACACCTTCGAAATCCTTCGAACACACCATCCAATTTGATGGCACCAAGTTATGTACCGTCCTATGTACCGTCTTTGGCACCAAACACTGACTCGAATGTTTTTTCGCACATATTTTTTTAAACGTACCATTTGCATTTCTTGTACTGCGAGTGTTACTATTATTTGAGTTTTGATTTATATTGTTGTCCTTATCAAACACGTATGAAAAATGTTCGATTCAAATCTAATTTTATTTGACGAGTACGATATAATGGACATCGACCATGTATGCGCTAATTTTGTCGTTTGTTTCATGAAAAAACATTGTAAATATGGGTGCCCTTTCGTAACACCGGTCAATTTAGGTTTCATTTCAAATATAGTCACTCATGAACTGCTGTTATTGTATTGTATTATGAAATATATTGATACATCTAACCCTTTTGATAAGGCTGTTTTTATATTGTATTAAGACATATATTGATACATCCAACACGTTGAATAACAATGGACTGCGACAAACGTGTTTACACGAGTTCAAGGCAACCTTGCTGGAACCTTCCTGGAACCTTGCTGGAACCTTCCTGGAACCTTGCTGGAACCTTGCTGGAACCTTGCTGGAACCTTGCTGGAACCTTGCTGGAACCTTCCTTCAGCCTTGCTGGAACCTTGCTTGAACCTTCCTGGAACCTTGCTGGAACCTTGCTGGAACCTTCCTGCAACCTTGCTGCAACCCTGCCGTAACCTTCCTGAGAACCTTGCTGCAACTTCCCAACAGCGATCCTCTTGGGTTTCAATCTTTTGGGCGGGGAGTGGTGCCAGCAAAATGCATGCTCTGGAAAACCGGGAAACTGAGCCTTGCTGCAACCTTGCTGGAAAGTCGCTGAAGTCTTGCTAGAACAGTCCTGGAACCTTCCTGCCACCTTGGTGAAACCTGGAACCTTGCTGGAAAGTCATTGGGACACTGCTGGAACTCTGCTGGAACCTGGTGAACCCTTGCTGGAACGTGGTGAAACCTTGCTGGAACTTCGCTGGAACCTTGTTGCTGGAACCTTTGGCTGGAATATTTTGCTAGGAACCAATGCGGGTGTCCATTTCGTTTTTCTTTTTGCATTGTTTCTTGCTTTGCTTAATGTGCCGGGTTGTGAGGTTGGAAGTCTGGCTTGAAATTTGTTGGAACTGTTTTGCAACCTTGCTGGAACCTAACTGAGGACAACTTCTGAATTCTTGGGAATGTTTTTTTTGGGGCAGGCAATTAAAGACGAGGATCCCTCTCTGAAACTGTGATGCTGGCATCCTTGCTTGAACCTTTGAAGAAACCTTTGCTGGAACTCTGGCATGAACCTTGCTCTCCAGGGTTCCAAGGCTGCAAGGTCAAGGGGCAAAGTTCCAAGCTTGCACCCGGATCCTAAGGATGCAGGTTTCCAAGGTTCTAGGATTTATTCAAGATTATATAAAGGGTTCCAAGTTTTTAAGCTTTCAGGGTTCCAAAATTCCAAGGCCTATCACTCCAGGTTTTTCAGGGTTCCATGGTTCCAGGATTTAATGACACATGAAGCAGCTCTGCACATTAAGCAGAGAAAAATGCAGCCTAATAAACCAAAATTCAAACTAAATCCGCAAATTTTGTTGAGGCGTCCGGAAAGGTTATTGGAAAACTTCCTGCAAGGAATTCCTGCAAGGTCTCCAGCAAAGGGTTTCTGCTCTGGAACCCTGTACCCCCGAACTCTGAAATCTTGGAGCTTTGAAACCATAGAAATCTGCAACCTTGGACTCCTGGAGCCTTGTAACCTTTGAACCTTGGAGCCATGCAACCTTAGAATCCTGCAACCCTAGATCTCCAGAACGGTCATGGAATGGTGGAACCACAAACTTGGCCTCTTGCAACCTAAGAGCTTGCTACCCTGCCTGGAAACCGAGAGCCCTGCGAATAACTTTGAACCTTGCACCTTGTGGAGCTGTAGAGTTGACGCTTTTCTGTGGATCATACTGCTCACATTTTAAATATACCTAAGCAACTCTATTGTGTTTTGCGTTTGTTTTGCATTGCTCTGGTCTTTGGTCATTTCGTAGTTGAATCAAACCAAGACCCTTACAAGTCTGGAACCTTGATGCTTGGAACCTTGAACCCTGGTAATTAATCTAGAACTCTGGAACCTTGGAACTCTCGTAATCTGCAACCTTGCCTGCAATTGTGGAATCTTGGAACCCTGCAAAACCTTAGAACCTTGCCTGATGACATTGCAGCCTTGTAACCCTGGAGCCTGCTGTTGGGTTGCAAAACTGGGTTAGTAACATACCATGAAGTAGTGTCGGGGTGGGTCAGGGACTTTGCTGTGGCCATGCCCTTCATTGCTCTCTGCACATACCTGCACCACATTTTTGCCTGGTTTTGAGCTCTTCTTGCTCATTGGCGATTGTGCAATGGCATAATCCTTTTAAGAGCATCTTGTACTAATATGTATACAGGATATGTCTTTGATAATATTTCGGTATGCCCGGGGTGGGTCAATGCCTATGGGACAGTCTATCCACAACCACCAGCTATCTGAATGTGAACAGAATAGCACCATGGTTTGGACCCATAGCCAGGTCTCAAAGTTTGGAAAAGTCTAGTTGTTCTGCGTGGGAGCAAAACCAAATTGCAACTTGGGTGGTTGGATTTACCTGGGGTGATCCAGTCTAGATCACTGAAATGTAGGCATGCTAGCGAAGGTGGAGGCTGCATAGCAGCACGGCTGTGATATCAAGTCTGATCGCAGTGGTTGGAAGTAGGATGACAAGAGCATGTCCAGGTGGTGAAGAGGTGTTTGCTCTTAGAGAATCAGAGCAATGGACGTCAATATTGGTCAGGAATGCTACCGGAATTTTACGAGCGGAAGATGGTGCTCCATCTTCTAATATTACATCGAACATCCGATTCAGACCCTGAGGGCCTGCTACACATAGTTTTGAAAAGCAAAAGCACATAAAGATACATAAAGTATGTATGTATATTAATGCAACGCAACGTAAATGTGAATGTAAATGTGACTGTATATGTAAATGAATCTGTAAATTTAAATGAAACTGCATGTGCATATATGTATATATATATATGTATGTGTATATTATAGTCGAAGGAAATTTAGAAGTCAAACTTCCGACAGTATGGACAAATGACAAGCGAAGAGTCAGAGAAGAGAAGAGAAGAAGAAAGAAGATCAAAAAAGAGAAAGTCTCAAAAGAAAGAAGATCCATGTGCGCGACAAGGTAGGAAAGTCGCGAAACACTGTGTTTTTCCAATGATTTGTGTCCGGAGAGGGTCGAAAAGTAGGCTCGCTAAAGCGGCGGGTGCGGAGCCAGCTGGCCAGATGAGAGATGAAAAATTGCACGCCGTTGTGGCCCGAAGCACATTTCCAAGTCAAACTGTGCAAAACGCACCATGCTCGGACCACTTTTGGAAGTTGAGATGTCTAAAAAGTGCACGCCGTGTGGCGCGAAGCACATTTCGAAGTCAAAATGTTAAAAGCACTAGGGGTTCGGACCGCTTTTGGACGTTCAGATCTCGTTTCGCATGGCAGGCGCAAAAGTGAGCAAAACGTGAGGGTTTTGTAGCAGTTGCAAAAACGATGGCAGGTGTGGGACATGCGAAGAGGATCTGCAAAGATGCACTTCGCGTGACAGGCGCAGTACAAAAGACATGTTCATCAGAGCTGTTAGGAGGTCAGGGCGCTGGAGGGGTTGCATGTTGGAGCATCAAATCTTCAGGTTTGCTGAGATGGTTTTGCGTGACAGGTGCAGCACTTCGTATGACCTGGCATCACTTTTTCGTGGCAGGCGCAGTAGTTTAGACAGGTGGAGTCGAAAAATAGCAAAACGCATTGGTACGAGGCCGTCAGCTCTGCACTCAACTTTCCATTTTTGAAGGAAGCCTCGCAGAATTGTTTCGTTTTTGATGTTGTCAAGTTCAAAAATTGAGGAAGTCTCGCAGAATTGCTTCATTTTGGATGGTGTCAAGTTCAAAAATTGAGGAAGTCTCGCAGAATTGCTTCGTTTTGGATGTACGAAGTTCAAAAATTGAGGAAGTCTCGCAGACTAGCTTCGTTTTCAATCTTGCAGATAGATAGATAGATAGGTAGGTAGGTAGGTAGGTAGGTAGATAGCTAGCTAGCTAGATAGATAGATAGCTAGCTAGCTAGATAGATAGATAGATAGGTAGATAGATAGATAGATAGATAGACGACAGCAACTACAACTACAACTACCACTACATTACACCACTAATACAACTACAAATGCAAATATATTACGATACATTACACTACACTTTTAATTACGCTGCGCTACACCAAATTACATCTAATTACATCTAATTACATTAATTACATCTAATTACATCTAATTACACCTAACTACATCTAGCTACACCTAATTGCATTTAATCACATCTAACTACATCGAATTACACTACACTTCACTTCACTTCGCTACACTACACTACACTACACGACACTAACCTACCCTACCCTACCCTACACTACACTACACTACACTACATTCCACTACATTCCACTACATTCCACTACAGCTACACTACCTTACAGTGCACCACGCTAGACTACAATACACTATACCACACTAGAGTACGCAACACTACAGTACACTACACTAATTACACCACACCACAACTACAACTGCAACTACACTACACTTATTACACTGCATGCAACTACAACTCCACTACACTACACTACAACTACAATGACAACTGCATTACACCACACTATATCCAGCAGTTGTGGTGGGGTGAGCACTGCAACCATTGCAACCACTCCAAAAATCACAGCTCCAACCACCTGTCGGCCCATCAGTGGATTCGCCCTGCCATCCGTGAGTCACAACAACCAACCTCTCCTACAGGTTTCCTATTGTTGAAACTCCCGCCGCCGCCTTGTGCGGTACTTCTGTTATAATTGTACACGATATGTATATACATATATAGACATACATGCGTACTCACACATTTTTTAATTGACAAAAATATTGAAAATAATATAAATATGTATGATATGTATGATATGTATGATATGTATGATATGTATGTATGTATGTATGTACGTACGTACGTACGTATGTATGTATGTATGTATGTATATATATATAAGCACTCTTCCAAAATGTTGTAGCCAATGGATAGCCTCCCAGCCAGTCACTACTCGGTCGGCAATCTTTAACAATTAGTCCTGGAATTGCAAATGCCACCTGCTGCAGCCTGCATTTACATGAGATGTTTGCGAAATTTGTTCTGAAACGGCGTGTCAATGTGTGAACATAATTTGGGATATTGAGGCCGTACACGATCGAACACGCTATTTTCAGTAAAACTTCAGTTCAGCATTTCTAGCCAGGAGGAAACCGAGGAAGGCAGTGACTTTTGTTTTCCAAAGAGCATTCCAGAAACCCTGTTCTCAAGCCCAGTTCATGATGTGAATCCCCTCCACAGTGTTCAGGAGCGACAGCGCGCAGAGAAGCTCGTAAATACAACCTGCGAGCGTGATGAGTTTGTGCGAAGTGAGGCTTGTCGATTCTGCAACAAGGGTCTGGTGGTTCAAAACATCAGTCTGTTTTCGCGGATGTTACAATGGAACCTGATGAACTTAAGGTCGCCTGTTTCCATACTTTTGTGCCTGTGCTGTGGTGTTTGTGCTGCCACCGCAGGCTTATTCACATATCCCTGGACGTTTGAACAGCAGCACGCAGCAATACATCCTCCGGGCCCGACAGTGCCGTGACGAGGATTCAGAGGCCCTGTGGCTTTCAGTTGATCATGGTGGATCATGGTTGGTCATCATTTTTCCGACTAAATGGCCATGAATCATGGGTATACTATGGTATGCTGTATACAGGTATACCGTACGGTTTTTCGTCGGCTTCAAATATGAGTGCCGGGAAGTGTGTGGTCTTTTGTAAGTGAGTCAGAGCCTGGTAACTTCTTCAACTGTTCACATAGTGGCTGTTGGTGTCATAGAGTCCAAGAGAGGGTCCTGCACTACGCTCTCTCTGCATAGCATCATAGTTTCCTACACAAATCTTTGTAGCAAGATGTTTGCAGAGTACTCGACTAAGTCTACTTGCATTGCGTGTTTGTTCTATCCAAAATCTGGCACCTAAAAGCTTGCAACGAGTTTTGCGTGGTGTTTATGGTGGTAGGGCTTTCTCTTGTTTTGCAGACTTGATCCTTCCATATTTATCCAGGGAGAATCCTGCATGATCACGTGTCACGCATGTGCCGTGGTCAAAAGTTGAATTGCCGAAGGAAGTTTAGAAGTCAAACTTCTGACAATATGGACAGATGAAAAGCAGAGGTGGGAAGAGTCAGAGAAGAGAAGATAAGAGAAGAGAAGAAGAGAAGAGAGAGAAGATCAGCGGAGAGAAGGAGCTAGAAAAAAGGAGATCCAGGTGTGCGAAAAGGTAGGAAAGTCGCGAAACACTGTTTTTTCCCAGTGATTTGTGGTCGAAAAGTAGGCTCGCTAAAGCGGCGGGTGCGGAGCCATCTGGCCTGGTGAGAGATGAAAAGTTGCACGCCGTTGTGGCGTGAAGGACATTTGCAAGTGAAAAAGTTAAAAGCACGTCACGTTCGGAGCACTTTTGGAAGTTGAGCTGTCGAAAAAGTGCCCGCCGTTGTGGCGCGAAGCAAATTTCGAAGTCAAAATGTACAAAGCACACCAGCTTCGGACCACTTTGGGAAGTTGAGATATGGAAAAAGTGCACGCCGTTGTGGCGCGAAGCACATTTCGAAGTCAAACTGTACAAAGCACACCAGCTTTGGACCGCTTTTGGAAGTTGAGATGTGGAAAAAGTATGAAAAAGTGCATGCCGTTTTGGCGCGAAGCACATTTCCAAGTCAAAATGTAACACACTATGTTCGGACCACTTTTGGAAGTTGAGATGTCGAAAAAGTGCACGCCGTTGTAGCGCGAAGCGCATTTCCAAGTCAAAATGTACAAGACACACCATGTTCGGACCACTTTTGGAAGTTGAGATGTCGAAAAAGTGCACGCCGTTGTAGGCGAAGCACATTTCGAAGTCAAAAGTGCAAACAACTGAGGGGTACGGAGCACTTTTGGTCGTTCAGATGTCGTTTCGCGTGGCAGGTGCAGGGGGTTGCGCACCTTGTCAAAAGTGAGCAAAACGTGAGGGTTTTGTAGCAGTTGCAAAAACGATGGCAGGCACGGGACATTTGAAGAGGATCTGGAAAGATGCATTTCGCGTGGCAGGCGCAATACAAGAGACACATGAGGTAGATGTGTTAGGAGATCAGGTCCTGAGAGGGGTTGCATTTTGGAGCATGAGATCTTCAGGTTTGCTAAGATGGTTTTGCGTGACAGGTGCAGCACTTCGTATGACCTGGCATCACTTTTTCGTGTTAGGCGCAGTAGTTTAGACAGGTGGAGTCGAAAAATAGCAAAACGCATTGGTACGAGGCCGTCAGCTCTGCACTCAACTTTCCATTATTGAAGGAAGTCTCGCAGAATTGCTTCATTTTGGATGGTGTCAAGTTCAAAAATTGAGGAAGTCTCGCAGAATTGCTTCTTTTTTGTTGTTGCCAACTTCAAAAATTGAGGAAGTCTCGCAGAATTGTCCACACTACACGACACGACGCTACACTACACTAATTACTCCTAATTACACTACACTACACTAAGTACACTACAACTACAACAACACTACCACCACAGCTACGACAACAATATCAACTACACCACATTACATTACACTGCACTATATAATTATATACACTGAAGCACACTACAACTACAAACACAAATGCAACTACAACTATACTACATTACACAACGCTGCACTACACTACACTAATTACATTACATTGCGCTACAACTACAACTACAACCGCAACTACAATTGTAACTACCACTAAATTGCACTACACGACACTACGCTAATTACACTACGCCGCACTACAACTACAACTACACTACCTTACGCTACAGTACACTAGACTACACTACACTATAGGATCAACATCTTGATTTTGAGGCTCAATATTTTGAAGGAGGCAACACTACACTATAGGAGGCAATACTATATTTTGCTCAAAAATCAATATCTAGGTATATATACCACACTACAGTACGCAACACTACAGTACACTACAATACACTACACTAATTACACCACACCACAACTACAACTACAACTGCAACTGCGACTGCACTACACTTATTACACATTACAAATTACAACTGCAACTCCACTACGCCACACTACAACTACGACTACAACTGCGCTACACCACACTACATCCAGCAGTTGTGGGTGAGGTGACCACTGCAACCATTGCAACCACTCCAAAAACACAACTTCAACCACCTGTCGGCCCATCAGTGGATTCGCTCTGCTCCGTGATTCAAAACAACCAACCTCTCCTATAGGTTTCGTATTTTTGAAACTTCCGCCACCGCCTTGCGCGGTACTACTGGTAAACCCATATTGGGGGATAGTCACCAATCATAGGGATTTACAATGATTTAGTTTTATACCCATTGTAGGGATTCCCACTATGCGATGGATGACCATAGACCGTTAATCCCATGTGAGTTGATCCCTTGGTTCTAACAGCAGCATAGCTGGTAGCTATGGATGTTAACGTCCTCCCATTCCAATTGTTCTACGGGTATTGACCCACAACAATATTGCATTTTGTGTTACTCCCCGGGTTCTAGGTAATTTGGTCAGGTATGATCAGCATGATCATCAGGTCAACTCCCCATTTTTGGATCGTCACAATCACCAGCTATAACAATCCATAATGTGGTGGTAAACCCAATTTTGGGATGATGAATTTACCAACCATGTATGGCAGCATTAGGGATGGTTTCTTGCTGGATTTGCCACATTAATTGTAGGATTGAATCAATACCATTTTGAGGGGGGATGACCAGTTATTTCGAATTTCACCAGGGGAGACCCAGTTCGCTACAGAACCTACGGATGACGCAGGTCTGGAGCTGCCGTGGCGTGGTCCCTGGGAACTTCGCTCATCAGGGCCTACTGCGGACCATGAGGGCTGCGCCTGCATGGCGCAGTCGCAGTTGATGCAGGTCCCACAAATTGCGACACGTGTTTTTAGACCCAACTTATGCCATCTTTTGTGATTCATTCCCATGTTTTTTTAGACTTTCAAACGCAAATCCGTGTTGATGAACCTCTGAAGAGTGCCAGCGTTGATTCAGGAGGCCTTGGTTTTCGTTGAGCGCATCAACTTGCTACGTTTTTTGGAGAACAGCCAACCAATATTTAGATCCAATGTGGATAGAAATTTGTGCAACAAATTCGATGGGTCTGGAGCGTGGGAGAAGCCTCGCACTGGGAAAGACGGGCGCTATATGCTTGAGCAAAGCAGAACCCTTCAAGAAGTGCCTTCCAACAGAGTCTTCGAAGCAGGGTGCAGAAGCAGTAGCTTGCTCTGCAACATGAGAACATAATTAGGTGTCTAGACTGCGAACATAATTTGTTTGAATAGCGTGCGGCCTGATCGGCCTGTGACTTTGGATCAGAGGAGCCATGTAATTCGATGACCCTGAACTGCCTCTGCCAGCTTCCACCACGCTCCAAGATGCTGGGGTTCAGCATCAGAGGAAAAGCCAGATGGTTTCGGGGTGCGTTGCGCCTAGGTTCACGAAGGTTCAGGAAAAATGCACACCATTGTGGGGATCAAACTAAGAATGCTGATTCATACTGTAACGACATGTAACGACTGTAATGGGACCCTCTGATTTGTAGATGACCGACTCAACATGGTCTTCTGCGTCTTGGCCTACCAGTATCCATGAGTCTATGAATTCTGTTACCTGGCCCCAACTTTTGCTACTATAGACTACGAATGCCCTGTTGTATTACGTTTCCTGCGTGTCGTGATCGCGCCAAGGAGTAGCAAACTCTCAAGCTTGAACCGCATTCCTTAGTGGGTCGAATAACGTGCAGGTCTCTGTTCACTGCTATATTGAGGCCCGAGTTATTTGACAGTTGACAATACCAGAGAATCAGACTGCTCATGAGTGCCCTTACTTGTATGATGTTCAATGTCAACATTTGTTCACAAGCGTACCTGGCTTCGGGGTATGGTCTCAAGTCTTGATCTTCATCAATTTATCTTCCGGGCCTTAGCCAGCATAGTCAGAGACATCCACGGCGATGTGGCAAGCTGACATGGTACTCGTAGTTGAGACATATAACGAAATGCCAACATCAAAAATACCACAATGTCAGGAAGCAACAATATGATTCTTTTAGCGTACCTACTCATCTTGAATACATGTAGCATCGCATGCACGCATACATCTCTACTTTGACCAATCGACATATTGACTGACGACGTGCGTGCCATGCGGTGTCGAGAGTCATGGCGCCTCGACGTTCAGTGCCGGTTCAGTCTTCCTTGCAAGATTTGGCCTTGTTTTGGGCTTTGATTCTTGAAAGCCAGGAGGGTCGCAGGGCTGGCGGTGGGATACAAGGATATACTGATATACTTTGAGCCTCTTTTAGCATTTTCTTGCGAAGATTGTTTGGTCCCCTCTCCCTTCTGGTGGTTTCTGACATGGCAGGTATCATGTGAGGGCTGATGCCAACGAGGTGCCGACGCAGTGCCGGCGTGTCAATATGGAGTGGAATTGGATTTCACCGCGGTGGAAACAACGGAAAGGATCCTTTGATATCCTGGGGGTGGCCGAAACAGCTTCTTTTTTCTTGAACTTTCAAACTTGAGACATTTTTCGTTCAGGGGTTGAGGGGGAAGAATTTGCGCACGTGTCTTCGACTCCCAATCATCGCTAATGTTGGTAACTTCATGATGCATTCCAACTTTTCAGAGAGACAAGGCAATGAGACATGTCCCAGTCTGAACTGAAACTGGCTTTTGGCACAGGTCAGTCGAAGGGAGTGTTTCAGTACCGATCACCAACACAACAGGATGAATGCAGACCAGTTTCAGTTAATCAGTTAATCGTCTCAGCCGCAAGAATTGCCAGAGAAATGATTGATAGACTCTCAATTTCAGTGGGTTTATATGGATCTGTTCTGTTCTGGGCCCCGCAGACCTTGGACTTTGACCGCATTGAACGGAATCTTAGATTGGGATAGATTGGGCTGGGGAAAGGACAGACTTCTTGTCTATCTGATTTTGCCATATTTTGCCCAGAGCGTCATGATTTCTTGTGATCAGATAGATCCCATTCTGATGTGATCCCATTTTGAGTCCGTTAGACTTGGGCGACCAGGACTCTGGTCGTGAACCATGCCTTATACAGGGATACAGGCTTTCTGAGTCAGGACTTTCGACATCGCACCAAGGTCAGATATATCAGCTTCCACGGCTTCTGTAGCATTGAAACCGATGTGAAGCACAAGGTTCGTGACATCGCACATATTGTCTGACAACTCTGTTTTTTAATTGACACGATGTATGAAAGGTTGCCGAAAGGTTGAGGACAATTTTGGTTGTGATCGTTGATTGTGTATTTTTGTAGTACATACCGCACCGTATGACCAAATATACAGGTCAAGATTGTGATATGTTGGCATTTGTTTGCCTCCCGTGCCTCCCAGATCTAGCAATACGAATGCGTTTCTTTCATCGATCGCCTGAGTCTTGTTTGGAGCTTGCTGTTTAGGCCGCATACCTTGCAGCATAATACAAAGGGTCTTGCAAACACCAACACTTTAGATTTATTCAATGTGGATAGAATCGTGCTGACATGGTCCTCTTGTTGTAGCACACCCATCGCCTGTCCAATCGCTTCCATTCTTCCGAACTTGCACCGGGTATGGGAAAGAAGTTTGAATTCATTTAAGGAAGTCTAGAGGCCATATCACGATATAACATGATATAACAAGCCGGTGCCGGTGATCCACAAGGAGTTCATCATGCCCCCAGGACGCTTGTCGGCAAGCAGTTCGAGAAGCTCGTAGATTGGAGGTTGGGTTGGGGTGTCACTATCCAAAAGGATGCCAGAATTCTTGTTCTTTGATTTAAAGGTCTTGCGTTTAGGAAGCGGGGTATGGCTGTAACACCCAGCAATTGCCTCACTGGGGGCTTCTACCTTGCGGCTTCAGCAGCCCTATCCCAGCCCTTTGCCAGACATCCTTCCAAGCAACGCCGGAGATTGTCATCGCGCGCAGCCCCAACATGATCACCTCGACATACAGTGGATGCAAGAAATCCTGCACCAGTTGGTAGATGATGGTAGATGATTTATCCCGTTATAATCATAATCCCCTTATTTACAGCGTTTCAAACACATTTGATGAGATCATCGAAGGATGCTTGTCAACATGTCAAGAATTCAAGGCGAGCCTTGGGATGTGTCTCAGTAGCGGTATCAAAAAAGTGGGTAGTTCCAGTAGCACTTTCCTTGTTCGACAGTAAACAGTGCAAATTGAAGTATATCATTTAAGTATCTGATTGTATACATGGTACTTGTATAAAATTATATTGATAATTGTATATTGTATGTATGATAACATTATATACTGTATATATAAATTTAAATGTAAATATAAATATAAATATATACAATCGTAATATTATTTGGACCACAACTCACGCATATCATCCGACAATCCGACAATGCCGATTTTCTCCAAGGGTTGGTGTCCCCCAGGATGGACTACTTGGAGAGGATGGATCTGCCAGAACTGCTGCCTTTACCTCCGCTCCCGGGGAGGTACTACCTGGGGAGAAGCAGAGAACCAGGGGAGATGTGATGCATAGTACATGCTGCGAACATAACATGACATAGTGCATGTATATAGATATAAGCTTTACTTGTGTATATATATATAATTATATAATTATATATATATACATAATCATATCCATACACGTAGGCATGTATGCAAGTATCCAATGGAATGTAATGTACTGTCATGTAATGTAATGCAATGTAATGACATGTACTGTACCGTAATGCAAGGAAATGCAACGAAATGGAATAGAATGGAATGTACCGTAATGAACTGTAATGTACTGCAATGTCATGTAATGCAATGGAATGCAATGTGTGTATTAATCAAATACCATATTAGGTTTGCACAGAATCTTGTACATTTCGTTCTGGAACGGAGGCATCTTCATGAGGTATCTTGATCGTTTGGGGTCACCAAAGGGTTCTGAGCGGACTCGAAAAAAAGAAAACTGTGAATATGAAGTTGTCCATCCGCTTGGTGTCTGGAAATTGGAACTTGAGCTTCTTTTTAGATCATCTTTTAATGATGTCAAGCAGGTGTACAAACGGCTGTGGAAAGCCTCTGGAATTTCTGAGTTTCTTGTCGCTCACCTGTGTCCTTTTGCAATTTTGGAAGTTGGCTTTGCGTCGTCTGGAGGTGTTGCAGCAGATGGACGAAGTATTATATCTCTACACTGCTGGCTTCACCAAGAGTACTTCAGTGACTTGGACGTTGTCCATTTAAACGGCTAGCATGGCTGTCACTTTTGCTCAAAATTTGATTCAGAAATAACACTGAGAGTCCGTTGGGTTCTGGACGGGTTCTTTTCTTTCCGGTTTTGAACTGTTCACCGTTTGGTTCGGTTTCTTGATTTTAGTAGCGGTTCCGGGTTGACAGCTGGTTCTGCTGATAATTTGATCTAATTTGTGTGGGAAGCTTGGGCGGCACCATTGAAAGGAACCAAGTCCATTTTGAAACGATCAGCACAACATCGCAAATCCTTCAAGAAATCAAGAGCCCAAAGTCAAAGTATATATATATATATGGAGGACTTATAGATTTTTAGGGTAGTCACTTTAGCTTTGAATCATCATTGTGAGTACAAGCAATGAGCAGAATGAAGTGATCCTCGGGGGCACAAGTAGGATCCACCGGTTTCTTTTCATGCGGCGCTCCCTCAAGTTATCCGAAGGAATCATTGCGCTTTCAACTGTTTGGTGCCCATTAGAACTGCCAATGGAACTTTTTTTGCGCTCAGGGCACCAGTGTTAGGCATTTGGACGGGTTGTGGTTCCAAGGTACGTAAGCTTTTTCGGAATGAAAATCAATCCGGATTGGTTTCGGCCGAAACATGACGGGTTTGCTGTGCTTACGAATCATTCTTTATAGGAGTAATTTTGGATTGTTGGGCTTCTGTTCGATTACTTTTCATTCTGCAATCCGTCAATATGGCATCTCCATGCTCCGAAAGCATGCATCGATTCCCTGTACGGTTCGGTTCGGTCTTTATTATATATTTTGAGGCAGCTTCTCGGTTTCGATTCAGTCCCAGGAGTTTACTGAAATGTTCTTGAGGAGGATAAAGCTCGCAGCCAGGAGGACCAGAGTTATGGCAACTTTCAACGTCTTTCAACGTCAATTTTGCAGTGCCCAATCTTCATGATCAGACTCCACCAGAAACGCTCAGAGTGACAGCCACTGTTTCGATGGTGGCGGCCCCTGAGGCTGCTGACATTGGTGTTAGAAGCGCAGAGCGGACAGCTGCCCTTTTGCATGAGGCTTTGGCTGCGCAGCCGCAGATGATTTGGGCGGACATGTGCAAGGCTTTAAGGGGTTCAGGAATAGCGGAATAGCCAACTTGGAGAAAGGACTATGTTTGAGAGTCTATGATAAATGATAACTTGAAATCCTCTAATTTAGGTTCCAGAAATGGTGGCAAGCAGAAATATATCACAAGGAAATTTCTGTGGCTTGTGCTGGTACTTCTGCCTGGGCAAGCCACAGATTCTTCAACCTGGAAGCACTCAATTTCCGGCTGCCGATATGGTGAAGTCAAGCATGCAGGATGAGAAAATTGTTCATGGGCTTGGACTTGTTTCCCTCGAAAGAACAGGCTCTATTCCACTGTTTTTCGCACCTCTGATTTTGAGGCTCAGGAGTACAGTACTATGTGCATCTATGTGCATGTGTTCGGCCTCAAAACATATTGGGAACGGCTGGGAGGCTGGCAACCTGGACCAGGATCCCACTGCCATAACAGAGGTGTGGCACCAAGTTTTGATGCCAATGGCCAAAAAACATCATGTGCTCTAGCAATGAAGAATGAAGAATGAAGAATGAATATGAATATGAATATGAATATGAATAATGAATAATGAATATGATGATGATGATGATGATGATGAAAATGATGATGATGATGATGATGATGATGACGATGATGATGATGATGATGACGACGATGACGATGAGGATGACGATGATGACGATGACGACGACGATGACGATGACGACGTTGTTTAATTTTGGCTCAGTGAGATTGTGCAATAGCAGCTGCTTCCACCAGGCAGAGGTTCAGAGTTGGCTGCCGATCTTCTTGAGGCACCCGGTTGGACCTGTCTGTCTTTGATTCTATGCAAGTAGACTGGGATTCCTGCTGCCCTGAAATGCCATTGAATCCAAATTATCGCACCGCAAGATTGGATGATATTGGATGGCTAATACATCTCCATTGGTACCCAATCCTTGGTCGCCACACCTGATCCAACCTCTTGGGGTTCTAGCCTCCATCTGCGGGGTTTCGATGCTCCCCTGGGAAGCTCCCTGCCAGTGGCAGTGGAGGCACCAGATCATGCTGATCCTTTTCCTTGGGCCTTCAAGAGGCGCGGGGCGAGACCCCTGTGACACAGATCTCGGATTTGAAAATCTCAGGCACGTTGGAGCTGCAACCCTTTGACGAGGAGGGTTTGCCGATGCGTTTAGCAACTGAGCTGGGGCTCTTGGTGGTTTGCATTTAGGCCATCTTATATCATGTTTGAGACTTTGTTTGTTCACAATTTTTGTGAGGGGCCTCTTTGTTGCAGCTGGAAAGGTGTTTGAAGGTTTACCCCGAAGATCCCCGAAGTGACATTCGTCTTTTGGTGGGGCTGCAGGGCGACACATCTCCGAGGCCCGGCATGCTCGTAGCCTTGCGTGCAGACTTGTTGTGGAGGAGGTGTTTTGGTGGGAACAAAGGGTTTGGGAGAGGTCTCGGAGAGGTTGAAATTACTTCTGAAGGAGAAAGTGTCAGTAGCAAAAAGCACGTCGTGAGTCTTTCCTACTCACCTCCCAAACAAACCATTGGTTTGCGCTTCAAGCTTGGTTTGAACAATCTGAGTCTTTGTGCGAATCACAAGACATTTCCTTCCCTAGCTTTGTACTGGAAAGATACTGTAGGCTTTCTGCCAAAAATGCAAACAGCCTCTTGCACAAGTGCTGATCCCGTTGCATTTGGGAGGTATTCCTGTGCCCCTGGTTCGACGGGTTACGCTCTGAGCTGCTTCTTACTGGGGTGGGGATGCTCAGACCACAGCCTAGGCAGATTTCAGCAACAGAAAGATACAGAAAGGCAATCTGTCAGAATTTCCAGGCCCAGTCTGGCCCAGTTTAGTGCTGATTTCTCGAGATCGAGGCCTGAAGCCGTGGGGAAATCCAGGACAGCCCTGTTGGCAAACATTGGACACTTGCGTGGTCCGATGGATACGGATGGTATATAGATGCATGCGCATATACATACTGTGTATATATACATAGAATTATATATATATATACACATACATAATGCAGTCAAACATGCGAACATATATCAAACTTCACTTACCTACTACCTGTTACTACAGTGTACATGTATGTATGTGTATATAATATACAGATGTCACTGTCACTGCTTCATTCAACTTGCCTAACACCTTGCCTTTGCGCACGCGTTGCTCTGCTCTGGCTACCTCATCACATCTAGCATACATTCAATATTATTCAATACCGTCAATACCTATACGTAGCCTATATACATTCAATAATGCAAGACATACAAAAGATAGACAACGCACATGATGTTCTCACGTCGAGAAAACACACCATACCAAACAAACGTCATTATACATGACATGTACAGCATTCGCAACGTAGTGCACATTTCACACACGCACAGAGATATTCACATGCGCTACGTTGCATTTGATTGCAATGCATTGCAATGAAATCAAATACGCTGTAGTTTTTGATTCTGTTCGTTTATACACATACAAAACAAGCAACCCTGAGAGACCAGCAAGGGATTGTGAGTTACACTACAATCCATCTCCAACAACGAAGGGGTTTGCATACGAGTTCTTGCCGACAGTCAGCTATATATACGGAAACTATGAGGCCCAAGATATTCATACGCGGATGTGCATCCTACTTACTGTAAGTGCCTAATAGGCGATCGAATTTCAATAGAAATTACAGTGCCCTGATTTTTCTGGGCCCAGAATTGGTCGGGAAAATTTCTGGGAAACCCGCACCAAAACCCATCGAAGGCAAACCCGCACCCAAACGGGCTGGGTCCGGGTCCAGGACTCCCATGGCTGCCAAGTTGGACCAGTGGATGTTGAGACGTATCGAGGCGGAACCCTGAAGGGTGGGACCTCTATGGTTATTGAGGGAAGTCCGGGGAAAGTGAGGTTTTAAAGTTTTTAAATCTTAAACCATCGAATTTCTTGGGCCCTATTCTCAGACAGACCCATTTGGGTTCATTTGGGTTCATCTGGACGATGCGTGGAAAGACTGCTGTACCAAGCGTGGGCATTTGGTACAGTATTTGGTAGTACCAGACCTGCTCAGGCAGCAGCGGAGAAGGGGGACCCGAGGCACAGGGTCTCCCGCAGCATGTCGCCAACGCTTATGATACTTATGTCTATCGTAGAACGTGTCTGAACATAGTATACTGCATACATGTATGTACTGTAGGCGTAGCAACTACCCTACGTGGAACTTCCCGCACTGTCTCTTCCTTTGATGGCGACCTCTCGATTGGGACCAAATTCTGCTAGACAGTTGGCTCTGCCACAACGGCTCTCAATTCCGAATTCCAAAATTCCAAGTCATGGTGGTCATGGTGATCGTCCAGTAGAATTCCATACATTTCCGATCAGGTGCGTTCAAACTCCTTTGGGCGCATCAATAGGTATCATTGGGAAAGATATCAGCTGGGCAAAGCCAATGGTTGCTGCAGGTGGATCTACAGCCTGGATCACATGTACCACAAGGGCGAGCAGCCACTTGGTTCCATCCTGATACATTGGTGACCAGGATGCCAAGGCTGATGCGGCTGATGCGGTAGCTAAACCAGCTAAACCCTGTCAATCGGATTTTGGTAGTCTGGCATCTGAATTTCTTCATATTTTTCCATCATGGCAAGTTAGGCTTGGGCATGGACCGATTCTTTTGCATTCCGGAACATTCCAGCAGATGTGATGTCCCTTTCTATTTTTTTTTGCTTGATGTTACCTACTGATTGGTTTCATGAGGTTCGCCGTGCGCGGCGCAGCCTGTAAATTCAGTGCGCCTTGGTCACGCACAAAGCATGAAGGACTGCTTGTTCCAAGTTGCAACAGGATTCACCCTGCCCTGGTGGACAGGCAACAAGGACCCCCCCTTTCAGCACATGAACTCAATCAACTGACCCTCTGGGGTCCATGTTTCGACCATCCGAACTAGTCATCGTGAGCTGAGTGAGCCGTGATCAGTTTAGCTTGGTTGGACTTTTTGATGATTGTATAATCTTGATTCATCTTGTATAGATGTCCTGGAACGATCTTGCAGTGAAACGCTCTGCTTCCTTACCCTGTTGGTCATTTATTTCTCGCCGGTCAGAAATTATGATCTTTACAGGAACATTATCTCCAAGTGGACAAACATGGCTATGGAATGCTATGGATCAATACCTCTAAATCCCATTTTTTTTACTTTTTTTTTTGGATTAAACATCCATAAATCTCAGCTCTTTTTCCAGTTCTCACCAGGGGATTCCATGGGTTTTGTTGACCCATCGGATTCTCGACAGCTCCAGGTGAACTGGGATCCTTTCCACTTTAGCAACGCCATCCTCAGTGGGGCGGACTTTGGCACCGAGGACAGGTGAGATGAATCGAGATGAATCAGACACAGAAAAATATGCCAGTAAGAGTAGTTGTATGCATTTTGTATATATATACACACACTGTGTGTTGTGTATACACATGTATACACACACATATATATTATATATATAATATATATACATACACACTGTGTCTTGTGTACATACATACATACATACATACATACATACATACATACATACATACATACATACATACATACATACATACATATATATATATACATATATATATATACACATATACATATATATATATATACATATTATATATATACATAGTAGATAGTATCTACACACACATATATATTGCACTATATTGCAATATACACCTAAAGTCTCTGGATCACCCAAGTCCGAGTCACCAAGTCAGAGATACTCCGCAGGTTCCAATCAGTCGCTGGGATCATGTCCCCTACTACTCTCCCGAACCTGATGGCTGGCGAGAGCTGAAGGTCGCTGGGGTTGGAACACGCTGCGACGTTGCGAGGGACGTGGTTCAACTGTTGCTGGCATGATGGGTGTTTGACGAGTTTTCTGGCATCTTGTCGATTCTTGTCGCAAACGCCACAATAGCATGTAATCTGATGGACAATACATTGTTTCATAATGTTTCATAATCATAATAGTGTGTTCCTTGGAAACCAAAGGTAGCTGATGATCTTGTCAGTCACTGGAAGTAAGTGTAATGTGGGCAAGGTGACCTTTGTGCTTGTCTCAACATATCTTGGACTTGCAAAGCATTGGAAAACTTTCTACCACCATGACTCCATGACTCGTCATGTTGGCCAGGTCTCGTGCAAGCATACCTGCATGATCGACGGCCTGGAGCTGTTTGATTCCAGATTCTTCAGGAGCTGTTAGAGAGCAAACCCCAAAAATGGAGACACAGTGCCACCAACAGTGCTGTTCGGTTCTTCTCCAGGATTGCTCCTGCGGAAGTGAAAGGTGGGCACTGATCACTGGTGGGAATGAATTTTAGATGATCCTGGTGGGCACTGATCACTGATCACTCCGTTTCCTGGATGGATGGATTTCACCACTTGACACCTCTACAGCTGGAAGACACGTCACTCTGGCTTGCACCTGAGAGCCCTTCTGAGTTGGCGTTCGCAGCTGAAAGTCTTCTTTTCATGTTGATCGTTTCATCTTGATCAAATGCTGTGAGCTGGTGATCACAGGTGAAAACAACAAACTTCAGTCGAAGTCATCCCAATTTTTTTTTGCAGTTGCCGAGCTCCAAGGGAGACAAAGGGTCAACTGAACACCCCACTTTGGGCAGGCATGGATCCCTTGCAGCGGCAAATCCTAGAGGCCAGCAGCGCTTGGAGCCACTGGAAATTATGGAGCTCTCTGACTTTAATTTATTCAACGACAATTCTTGGACATTGGAGATTCTCCATACCCCCAAGACAATCCTGAAAAAGACTGAGCTTCAACAGCACTTCCACTTGCACAAGTGGATGTAACAAGGAGGCAGAGTCAAGATGAGTTTTGATTCCAATCCTGGCACGCTGACTTTACTCTTCACTCTACCTCTACCGTATAGGGCTCACTGTAGATGCTGCGCCTCGTTCATACCAGGAAAGTGTGAAACGAGAAACGTGCAATGTACAAATGACGCAAGCACGTATACAGACATCAACTTGAATGAGTCTCCAAACACTCTTGGAATGATCATAATATTGCCAATACCTGCCAATCCCATTTTTTTATCAAAGTATCTCAAACTTCATTGGAACATATTGGAACCATCATCAATTTTCATCAGCTGCTGGATTCATTGGATGATTTCAAGGTGGGCTATGCCGCCTTGCACGATGCCGGGCAAACGTCCAAGACCTTGCTGTCCCCGCCTCAGAGGGATGTCAACCCCCAAAAAGATAGAACAGGTAAGTAACTTCGGCCGCCATGATCTTGGTATGGTTGGTTTCTATGTTTATGTATGTACAATATATATATATATAATTGTATACATATGAATATATAGTCACACCCTTAAATGATCGTTGCTAGATAGTTCTGATGCTACAGGTGGTGGTCAGGGCTGTCATGTGTGTGTGGATGCGCTTGCACGCTTGCTAATCTGTAGAAGCACAACATTGGTCTCGTTGGTGGCTTCAATCATTTGTTTTTCGTCCTGCCGGTGATGATCCCTGTCGACTCGTATTTTTAGATGCAGTTGAAACTAGCAGCGAATTGTTCTGAAGCATTGCGGAGATGTTGTGCCTGCCACTAGACTAGAGAACCTTTGCAGATATTTTTTGTATAAATAGTTGGATAGGCATGTGACACACAATTGAACGCGTTGGTTTTTATCCTTCCAGGAGGGCAGCTTCCAATGTATCAGAAATAATGAGACTGCAGCCGAGCTGGCTCTCCCGACTATGCAATTTATATATATAGCATGTATATACACAGAGCCAATCAGATACCAGTGTTTCCAATGATGTAGTGACTATACCGAAAATGCCACAAAGCTATGCCTGACTGTTTGCTGGCGCAAAGAGGGCTGGGTGTTCAATGGTTTTCATATGTTTTCATGGTTTGAGGTTGATTCCTATCTGTCTTATC